TATATATATGTATGTGTGTGTGAAACATCTTAACCCAGTTTTTTAGGCATTCCGCTATAAATTTAATACTTCTTCCTTTACATAAAATGTCCCGATACAGTTTTTTTTCTATTGTTATGACATTCCATGACGAATGCATAATTTTCATTAGCGCATGACGTAGAATGCCCTAATTCAGCTTTTTTTTACGTTATGGTCTTCTAATTACAGTTAACAATATTCACATAGAACTGTAATTAGTCGACATGTTTCATGCGCTCAAAGATAGGCGCCTATTTTTAAACAACAGAACAAGACAATTCTGTGGCTTCTGATTTTCTTCTGTGGCTCTGATATTCTGATTTTCGGCCATTGTGGTTTTTCATAATAAGTTTAATAAGCTTTACATTTTTTCTCTCTCTCTCTTGACTACTGTAGTTTTCCTACTTTTGTTTCTTACCTTTATTTTTTCATTTTTCATTGGTACGCTTTATATTTCAAATCACTTTTACTTCAGCTTATTTACGTTTGGCAAGTCCTGAAAATGGGCGCCTATATTTGAGCGCTTGAAACATGTCGACAATTATTTCCAATTTTTATATTTTTGAAGCGAATGAAATTTTTAATCAAGTTAACAATTAAGTTTAATGCATTATTGTTAGTGCTCACAAATGTATTTTGAGGCGGGGTCTAAAAAGTTGCACTCACAAATGTATTTTGAGGGGTGGTTCCAGAAAGTCGCACTCACAAATGTATTTTGAGGGGCAGTTCTAAAATGTCATACTCACAAATATATTTTGAGGGGCAGTTCTAAAAAGACATACTCACAAATGTATTTTGAGGGGCGGTTCTAAAATGTTCTCACAAATGTATTTTGAGGGGCTGTTCTAAAATGCCGTTAGCGCACCGAAATAATTTTATTCGATTGAATTCATTTGATTGTTTTACAACAAACGCAAAAATAACAGTTATGTAGGTTCAAAAATTAGTTTGTATTCGGCGATTACTTAATAGAATAGTGAAAGCTCTTTGTTTCTTAAAATCTCACATAACATTAGTTTTGAAAAATTATCATTGCAATTCAAGAATTCAAGTTCGAATTTTAATGAGAGAAAAAATTAGGTAAGATTCGTAACCAAGTTGGTTACACTACATTAAATGTCAATATATATATACAAATAGAACTCGAAAATAACAACTTGGCGATTAATGGGCTCATTCGTAGATAATTCAAATCTGAAAAGAGATATTTTTTTACTACGGTGTTTAGGAGAAGTTTTGTCAAATAATTCATTTCTCAAGTTTGTTTTGCAAACTGCGTTTTTAAAATTGTCTTCAAAGGAGAAAATAGTTTTATTTTTGCAACACCTAATTATTTGTTTTGCCACCAAAACGTGTTTCAAAATCAGTTTCTAAACACGTGAGAGGAATTTTCAAGGATATTAGAAGTTTATAACAAAAGTGATACGTGCTACGTCTTTCATTTTAGGTTTGACAGAAATGAAATAATTTTCTTCTTTAAAGATAGCTTTAGAAACGTGGTTGGAAAAAAAAAAAACAGTTTTCAATTTCATTTTAATGATTTCTTCATCTTACTACTCTGTCACTTCGTTTGTGTCAGAAATTGGTTGTAATTTCGATTGGAAATTAAATAACAATGAATATGTTGCTAGCATTATTTTTTTAAAATAAATTACAATTTGTATTAATATTATGTACAGAGCCCCAGAAGGGACTTTGAGTACATTAGGTAGTCGGAAAGTGGTCAGAAGTTTGTTTGATAATAAATTCCTTTTAGCGGTAATATGTCAATAAGTTCTGCTTAAGTCGTGGTGGCTCAGGGAATAGAACGTCAGCCTATTTATGAGGTGAACCTGATTCGAATCCCAGCGAGGGCTAGTCCATACGAATTCCGCACCTGGCTCACACTAACCACAGTGCTGACATAAAATATAATCATAGACGGATCATGGGTTAGAATCCCTTTGTCGTCAGTCTAGCCGTGAAAGGTTTTCGTGGTTTCCCTCTCCGTGAAACGAAAACGAGGGTTAGTTCCATCAAAAAATCCTCCACGAAGGCATATTTCTCCCAACACTTGATCCAGGAGTTCCCTTGTCCTCTGAATTGGGTTCAAAATTACAAAACTTAAACATCAGTAGTCGTAAACCCAAAATTGGGTCAGCTGTTCAACGGCGGTAATAAAATAAAATAAGTTCTACTTGAACCGCAGTGGCTTAAGGGCTAGACTTCTAATGATGTGACCCATGTTCACTGGCAAATCAATACGAATTCTACTCCCAGCTCGCCCTGACCACAGTGCTGATATAAAATATTCTCAGGAGTAGATCAATCATGGATTAGAATCCCTTAGCCATTGGCATGACCATGAGAGGTTTTCGTGGTTTTCCTCTCCATCTAACGCAAATGCAGGTTAGTTCCATAAAAAAAATCTCTGCAAAGTCTAATTTTCTCAATGCTTGATCCAGGAGTTCCACTGTTTTCTGGGTTAGGTTCTAAATTACAAAGTCATGGAGTTGAACAATGATAGTATTTAACTCAGAATATAGTCTTCTGTTTAACGCTGGTCGTAAAGTGAAATAAAATAAAATAAAATAAATTATATTTCTAGCGATCAGAAAATGAAAAAAACTTGAATTGACATCATTCGTAGAGTTCGAGATAAAATGTGAACACTTAAGTTAGCTGGGAAGTAACAGGAATCTCGAATGGTGTTAATTTTTATGAATTTTCAACTGTATCATTCCACTGTTATTCCACTGCTAGTTTAAAAACATAGTAAAAAAAAGAGAAATATGTGTTACAGAAGAAGAATTTCTAGTTATGGCAATGTTTAAATTACGTGGAACACAATTAACCACCTTTTCACCTTTGGCGGAAATATAACAATAAATACCGCTTCTAGTGATCAGGAAAGATTCAAGCTTGTATTGCTATCAGGCAACGAAAGGCCTAATAGAGATTTGAGTACGTTAGCTAGTAGGAAAGTTATAAAATTTTCAATTGCAAGATTACTTATTCACAGTCACGAAAGCGAATGCAAAATAAAAATGTTGTAATGAAAAAAAAATGCAGGTAACAGAAAACATTCTAGTCATCATAAGCTTTAAATAACACGTGACACTTTTTTTTCCTACCAATTCTAACAGTTTGAAATTTACTAGCTAAAGCTGGAGCCAGCTTTCTCAAAATGTCGCATACCTCTTACATTCCACCAAGAACACCGGGATGAAAATATATTATTTTTCTACGAGACTTTTTTCATATTTTTGTGGTTTTTTGATTACAAAAACAAACTCTAAAATAAGTCTACTGTCGTTTGTTTTTTTGGCGCCGTTAATATACTGCTACTGTAGAACTTCCCAAAAATAGAATACCAAAGAATGAAAAGGAGTAATATTCCGTGTTTTTCTTTTTGGAATTTTCGAATGCTTCTTACATCATATTTTTCAACACCATCCCAATATTTATCTTCTGACGTTGTTGAATGTTGGAACATTCCTTCGGGATTACAAATTATTTTTGTTGAACTATTTTGGAATGATATTAATTAGAGCTGGCAAACTTTTTGTCTAGAGATATCAGTGGGTGAAGCGAGAGAAAAAGTCACTGACTTCTTGAAATAAAATGGTTTTAACTTTGTGACATGCAGTGCTAGTAAAACCTATTTTCAGTGAACATTTACAGTTTGTTAGAAAGTATAAAATTGTTTTTTTTTAGCTTGTAACATTTTTGTTTACGTCTTCAGTTTTGTATTTTTTTCGATGGAAAGAAAGTGCTTATTAAAAATAACAGATCGGGAAAGAAAATGGTGCTTAAAAAAGTGCTGCCAGGTAGCAAGATGATGCAAAACAACAAGCTTGTAGTCAATTCCAAGCTGTCTCCCTATAGGGAGTGGATTGTTATCATTTTTTTTTTGCAGGTGCAGAAAGATAAGGTTGTATGCCCGTATTTTTTTTGAAACAGATACAGCAGAGAGCGATTCCAAAATTCAGAAATCGGAAATAAAATATTAACTTTCTAGCAAAAAAATATTGAAAGCATTTTGATACTTTAAGTTTGCCACAATTCGCATTTGTTTTGATTTTATGTTATGATATCCATTCATTTGTCTTCAGTAATTAGGATAGCTTTTTTTATTTTTCTTGCCCAGAGGAGGCTACGAGTTGTACATAATTTAAATCAGACAAAATAGAAAATGGCCCTTTCACTTAAAAAAAAACTTCTGTTGTAGGACTACCAAGCAATGACATTTTATCTTAAAAAATCATCAATATAGGTCATACCAGACAAAGGAATACCGGACAAAAGTCTAACATCAGTGACAGAAATACCAGGAAATGGCACTTTATTTTAATAAATCACAAGTGTAGGTAATATCTGGCAACTGAATACCGAACAATGGTCTTTACACAAAAAAAAATTACATCAGTGTCAGAAATACCGAGTAATGGCACTTAATCTTAAAAAAATAATCAGTGTGAGTAATACCAGGTAATGGAATGCCGGACAATTGTCTTTATTCTAAAAAAGAACGTCAGGGTCAGAAATACCGGATAATGGCATTTTACCTTAAAAAATCACCAGTGTAGATAATAATGGGCAATTAAAGCTTCAATGTGAAGAATACCGGGCATGAATATATCGGGTATTGGCACATTTTACCTACTAAAAATATCAGTGGTGGGAATGTGATGTATTTTTTAAAGCTCTAAACTTGTAAAAAAAAAAAAGACAAAAATTTACTTCTTATAGGAAGGCACCTAGGAATATAAAGATTATAGCTTTATTCCTTTTGTTTTGCAATCTTGTTGCCGGGTGATACCATAGTTTTGTATTAAACATGAAGTGTGAATTTAGTGAATATATTTCTCAGAAAATGTACTGCAAGCATGCATCAATGCCTAAAATATCCCACTACCAAATGTAAATGCATAAAAATAATTGTAATCATATTCATGAAAATAACCAAGTAAAATTACAATTTTTTATCGTCCATTTGATGTGAAATTGCCTTGCCATTTTTACTACAGTTAAGCTTCCAGTTTACCTATTATTAGCTCTCACTTCCTAATTAAAACCTCAAAACTTGAGATTTTAAGTTAATATTTATGCATTTGGAGTTATTAAAAAACTGAGGAATAAAAATATATTTCTTTCCCTCTTAGATTATTCCTCTTAAAACTGGTGTGTATTATCTCTGCATATATGTACATTTTTAATGAATACATTTATTACATGATGCGTTGTATACCTATGAAATTGGGCCATTCAATTTGTTTGACCTTGTATATCTGCATAAAAACTGTGGTCTACTATATCTCTAAAGTCTAAACGTTAAAGTGGTATCTTGAAAATTGAAACTTCTGATAGTATTAACGTAAATTTACTACTACTGTAAGATTCGTGGAAACCCTCTTAATATTAACATATCCACAGTATACAGTGACATATGCAGTGATATCTTAAAAAGGGAAATTTCTGATAGTATAAGCGTAAATTAACTTTAATATTCGTGGAGACACTGTTAATATTGACATATTCGCAGTATACAGTGACATATACAGTGGTATCTTAAAAATGGAAATTTCTTGTAGTATTAACGTTAATTTACTACCATTGTAAGATTCGCAAAAATCCTGTTAATATTGACATATCCATAGTATACAGTGACATATACAGTGATATCTTAAAAAGGGAAAATTTCTAATAGAATTAACGTCAATTTACTACCACTCTAAGATTCGTGGAAACCCTGTTCTTATTGACGCAATATCCAATGATATACACAGGTATATGGTATCTTAAAAATGGAAATTTCTGGTAGTATTAGCGTTAATTTACTACCATTGTAAGATTCGTAAAAATCCTGTTGATATTGACATATCCATAGTATACAGTGACATATATAGTGGTATCTTAAAAATGGAAATTTATGATATTATAAACGTAAATTAACTTTAATATTCGTGGAGACACTGTTAATATTGACATATTCGCAGTATACAGTGACATATACCGTGGTATTTTAAAAATGGAAATTTCTTGTAGTAACAACGTTAATTTACTACCATTGTAAGATTCGCAAAAATCCTGTTAATATTGACATATCCATAGTATACAGTGACATATACAGTGGTATCTTAAAAGTGAAAATTTCTACTAGAATTAACGTTAATTTACTACCACTGTAAAATTCGTTAACCCTGTTAATATTAACATATCCATAGTATACAGTGACATATAGAGAGATAACTTAAAAATGAAAATTTACTACCACTTAAAGATTCGTGGAAACCCTGTTTATATTGATATATCCACAGTAGCTTCAAATTTATGAGTTCATCGAGTCATTTGTTCGATTAAGTGCATTATTGATTTATTAAAAGCATATCAAAAGAATTCTCTGTTATCTATTGTCAAAAATGATGAATAAAAGTAACCTAAATAGGGAATCGAAAAACAGAGTAAGAATTTACCTTTCTAATAGGAAATTCTTGTTTTGAAATTGAATAGATAACAATAAAGTGTGTTGACATTGAGTGTAACACATTTTTAACAATCTGCCAAAATTTACAGAAACATTTCGAGTAATAAATACTCTCCTTCACTTCTGAAGCCGAAATTACTTGAAAAGAATGACTGAGAAAAAAATGGAAAGTATTATAATTGAATATAAAAACATTTTTACATGTTTTATTACTTTAAATTTTTGAGAATCAACAGTTTAATTCAGTCTTTATTTTTCATAGGATATACGCTGTATTGTCAATCAAAAAATGTTTATTAAAAAAGAAAATGAAAGAAAACTATGAAACTTCAGTTTTAAACTTGCAACAGGTAATTAAGTTAGCTGATTAAAAACTTCAATCGCTTCAACAATATGTAAATAGGAAATAACAACCAACATGTTTCAAGCGCTCAAAAACAGTTGCCCATTTTCAAGACTTACGAGACGTTTTTGTGAAAAAAAGAGATTTGAAATATAAAACGAAAAGTTGCTAGTGAAAATGGAAAAATAAAGGTGCGAAACTCAACTAGAGAAACCACAGTAGCCGAGAAAGAAATAGGAAGATGTAGGCACTTTTTTTACGTTGCTCTAGAGCTGCACAATGGGCTATAGGCAAAGGGCTGGGAAACATCCCTGAGGATGATCCGAAGACATGCCATCGCAATTTTGATCCTCTGCAGAAGGGATGGTAAATAAGAAGATGAAAAACAGAACAAGAAAAACCACAGTGGTAGAGAGGGGCAAATCAGAGCAAAATGCATTTCCACGCGCCATGGAGAAGTGTAAATAATTAAGATTTAAGTAAGTAAATCGAAGCATCAAAATTCTTTCTGATTATTTTATATATTTCTCTAAATATCTAAAGCAAAACTACATATGCTGAAAAGGACAAAGGAAAAATATTATGCTTTCAAAAACCATATACTTATTATGATTTTTTGAAAAGACAAATCTATAACTATAGTTACAAATAATTCATATTTCACATCATTATATCTATTTCGCAGCACTATACATAAAAAAAACATAGTTTAAAAACGCTCTTTTTCAATGTTTAAAACCATTTTAGTAAACTTCCTGATATTATTTACAGGAACCGTTCTCTTGTTTTCAGTCAATTCATTCTTGTTTACGAACGATCCGTCAAACGGAGACGAAGAAACGGAAAAAGAAGAGACGAATGATGTTTATCTTTTTCCGTACAGACCCAATTTACTCTTACTACTCCACTACGCTTCCAATGATTTTGAGGAAGAGAAGGATTAGAAGAAACGGACAAGGACGTAGACTGACATTTAAAAGTGTTAAATTAAAAGCAATATTTTCTCTGTTTATAGTCTGCAGCACTTAGCCTGTCTGTTTATTATTTTAAGTTTTGAGGAGCCTTTGCTTTGCTTTATTGATTATGCTGCTATTAAAAAAAGATATTGTTATAAAATTTTCTTTTATTATTTATTTAGAAAATAAGCTCAAAGATACATTGATTATTTGACAAAGATTATTTAACATTTATTATTTGACGTTGATTATTTGATAAAGCCTAAATAAATACAATTCATTGAGCAATTCACTTGACAAATCAATTAACCCTTTCTTTCTTGCAACCGGCTAAAATAACGGGATGAAATTTTGTATTTTATTTCTCGTGCCCGTGATATTTTCGGGATGGAGTGTTCAAAAGAAACTCGCAAAAAAGGTAAATACAATCTATTTCTTATGCCCGGAATTATGTTTTATTTCTCAATATATACACCAGATGGCACTATCAGACTGTTCGTAAAGTGATAGTTAGTTTATTTTAAACTAGTTGTCAGCATTCATCAAACATATATAATTGCGAGTAACTAAAAAAATAAAAATGAATTCAAACATTGCACTTAAGTTTATATAATTTTCTTGAAAAATCATTGATCATATCTTTGAATCATATGATCATTTTCTTCAAATTATATGACCATTAAGGGATTAACTTCATTTATTAAAATATCTTTAGTTAGAGTGTAAAGGTTCTTTGATTAGTCGTAGTATTTTATAAAATAAAAAAAATTACGTTATATCAATTACAATCAAACTAGTATATTAAAAGGATGAGCGTAAATAAAGTAATGAAATAAAATATTTTTTTTAACATTTGCTTATGTTTTCCTTTAGCCCTAACAATATTCACAAAAAAATTCCGAAACTTCTGCAAAATCTCTAAACCATATATATTCTAATTGCAATTAACATAATTTGTTGTTCGAGTTTCCGAGTTTCATATAAATTGTATAAATTTGTCTACTTATAATTAAATATTAAGTCCACGTCTTAAAATATGTACTGTAGCAAAATAAACAGGGGACAACAAAAACAATTATTTAGTTTTTTTTTCGAAGAGCTATTTCAAAGTTAGCCAAGAAGAAAAGATCATATAAAATATCCAACTTCCCGTTAAAATTGGAAAAATCTCAGAAAAAAATGTATATAATTTCGAACAGTTGGGTACATGCAACTCGAAAAGAAGAATACTGTTGAAATTACACGGTTGGGCATAATCACGTGATTTTATTTTATTTTATAACAGGCATTGAACAGCAGACCCAATTCTGAGTTTACAACTATCAATGTTCAACTCCGTTGCCTTTCAATTTTGAACCCAATCCAGAAGATAAGGGAAGTCCTGGATCAAGTATTAGGAGAAACTTGCCTTCGTGGAGGACTTTTTGATGAAACTAACCCGAATTTTCGTTATAAGGACAGGAAAACCACGAAAACCTCCCATTGTTAGCCTGATGACAAGGGGTCTCTAACTCATCCGTCTGCCACTGAGGATATTTTAAGTCAGCACAGTGGTTGGTGCTAGCGGAGTGCGAAATTCGTATCGACAGTCATCGCTGGGATTCGAACCTGGCGAGCCACATTGGGAGGCAAGTGTTCTATCCCCTGAGACACTAATCACGTGTACTTGGTGTATTGACTTGGCGTATTATGGCTCTGAATTAAATTTCCGATCGGATTTAATTGGATGCCTGCAAACGTTGTCACGTATGTATCGAATCTGATTGGCTGCTGAATAGTGGCCTAAGCAAATAACACGAATAATCCACGCGTGACGTTGTTTGCAACTATCCAATTATAAGAGTATAGCAACATTATTTCAAACCGGGTAGGAAAAGATGAATGTTATTTTGAGATGAAATACCTGATTAATCTGTTCTAGATGAAGTTCAATTTTCAGTTGAGCTTCTCTTAATGCTTCTCTATCTTTGTGGTGGTATGGGGTCACTTTGTAGAGTCTGCTTAATAGCAGAGGATACCTATAAAATATTCCAAAAATTACAATCATTACAAAAGGTAAGCAAGAAGAAAAGTGCTTATAATTACAGTAATAAATGATTAAAATTATTGAAAACGCAAATCTGTTATCAAAAAGGTGTTTACAAAGCGTATAAATCCAACAAAATAGAGAGACTTGAGATTTTGAAAATCACCTTTTCGGTTTCATATTAGTACCGTTAGGACGATGTTATTGGTTAAGGAGCTGACCTTGCATCAGAAAGGTCCTAGGATAGAGTCCCGGACTAGGCATGAATGTTCCTTCATTCTCTGTTCTATCTTCTCTTTACTGTGGGAGCAACGTTAGCCCATCTTGTATAGTGTCGATGAAAGAGTGGCCAACAAATCTGCCCATCTGACATTAATTTTGCACCAGGTAGAGTTTTCAGTGATCCCATTTCTGACAGCACTGTTAAACCGATTTTATAACTTTAATTGAAACTTTTCGAAAGTCGAGGGTTTAAACAGCATATGGGATGTACAATATTCCAGAAACAGACAGGTGCTACCTGTTTGAAAGGACCTTCATAAAAAGTGTCCTGGTAGCAGATTTTGTTGAAGTTTGTGTACTCGTAATATCTTGCATACTTGTGTACTCTAGTGCTCTTGATATCACCTTGCTGCGTATGTACGCTAGTACGACAATCCGTATTATACGCAGCAAGTCTGGTGGTGACAAAAACTTCTAAATGACATATATCTGTCATTTTATAATTTGTTGTTGTTGTTACTTGTGCACTTGCGAATCAAGCGAACTCTTAAGTCAGAGAATGCGTTTCTTGTTAAGTGGCGCCATTTATGACCAAGAATGTGACTGCAACCATACACACGTCACAACCCATTTTACACTGAGGACCCATTCATTCATCCACAGATCGTAATTTTGACCTGAACTAGAGAAAGATCAATCTCCAATTCAGTATTCCAGAGATATAGATTCTTTGTGGGAACTTGGAGGACTCTGTGATCTCGATCGATTTAATGTGCCCCAGTCACCATTTAATACACGGGGATTCTTCGGCTTTCGAACTCCCGAACACGAACCCAACGTCTTACCAACCAAGCTATCACGGCCCCATTTTGTATTTTAAATTATTGAATCAGCCATGGCATTAACTTCGACCGAATTTGGATGTCCAAGGTCAGGGGTGAACTACGTAGTCTGATTGAAATGATTCCTACCACGGCAGTGAAATGGTTCTATACATGGGGCTGAGACACTTTGCTATGGTCAGGTGTGTTGCAGTCGTTGCAATTCCATAGTCGTATACAATAAAAGGTGTACTTTTATTATTTGAATGAATCATACCAAATATAAGACAACATTCTCAACCATAGACTTACTTAGTGACCCTTTGCACCGGGACCATGAGAAAGGCGGAGAGGTTCATTCTCCTGAGGAGAGTGTTCTCCATCTGTGACACTTTCAAGAATATCCTCAGGAGTTCTTTCTCCTTCTCCAAGTTGGTTAGCAGGACGGACGCCGAACCCTAAAACAAAATAGAATCCGTTTTAAAACTAAAAGAATAGTTAACTAAGTATATTGTGATTATAACTAAAATCGTTCCAGCATTTGTTGTAATGGAAAACGATGAAATTGGTGAAAGAAAGATCATACCAACACAATGAACTTAATTTTTAATTTTATTAAAATATTCATCATCAAAGACTTCATCGTAGCAATGCTGAAATATAATAATTGATGTCCGTGAAATATAATAATTATAACTGTTGAGTTTTAATGGCGGATGCAAAATAATATTGAGTGCCATATGACAATTCCATTTGAAACTGTTGCTGGAAAAAGTAAAAATTTAAACAAGGCATTTTTTTCTTCTAAGGAAGTTGAATTTAGTTTAATATGGTTCTCATAAGTTTGAAGTCAAATATTTCGTAGTGAGATTTTATAGCAACAATTTTTACCTTATCATCTGTTGTTTTATTATAACGTGAATATTTTAATTGATCTCTAAACGTATTGCATTGGACATTTGTTAAATCAGAAGAGCTCAATTTCGTTATATATAATAGAGAGTTTTTGCATAGCATTTGTCTCACGTTAACCGTAACGCTAGCTTTATTTTATACTCCTTAGAGACGTGATGATTTGTAGGGAATTTTTCGCTCATGCGCTGTAAAGGAATAAAAGGTTAGGAGAAACTACAACTCTATGCAAAATCTCTCTAACTAAAGTTTAGTTTTAACACGGAAACAATACAAAGTTATTTTTTATTTATTCATGTGTTTTTCTCAAATATTAAAGGCAATAATTCTGAGACTGAGAGAATGAAAGCTCGTGAGCACAAAATCTAAACTCTTTTAAGAAAATAACATGCAAGACACTTTTTTTTTGCTGCAAAAAATTTTTTCAAAAACTTTTTTTAATCCTCAAAAACTTTACTTATATTTAAGAAATATGAAGCAGAATTTAACAACATTATTTACTTTACGATTTTTACGGGCATCAAATTTGAAAATATAATTTTCCGACAGTCTATATTAATTCATTACTTTATTTTACTATAATTGAAAGTTGCACTTAAGTTGACAGATTTATTTGTTTCAATAATAAATTTTAACGGTATAAACTGCTGTACTTAATTTGGTTAAAATACTTAACTTGAAATAAAATTAGATGGAATTAGAGAATGGGTCCCACAAAAGAGAATTTACCTGTCTAATGCAATAAACCTCAAATGCTCTCAGCATTGTTGTCGTCTCTAAGAATATTTTTCCTATATTTACAGTGGTGTAATCCTGAAATGAGAGAAACATATAAATAATTAAAATAGTGTAAATAATAATAATAATACTCTGAGTAAAAATGTATGATGAAAACTTCGAGAATATGGTACGTTTTACTGTGCTTCTGGTTCTATGGGAACGTTAAAAAAATCAGTAATTTTTATCAAAGAACTTTGGTAAAAATATTGGTAAAATTAACAAAACATATGGTTTCATAATATGTGATAAAATGTTTAAAATGTGTTAAAATTCGGTAATTTTATCATGATACCTCTGAGCATGGCATAAAAATCCTTTATTCGGTAAAATTTACTTTCCGTTTTTGTATTCCTTACAAAATGTGTTGTAATAATAACTATAACTTTAAAAATCAGAATTTCCGATAAACCATTACGATATGAAAGGTAAAATTACCAAAGGAATGGTTTAATTAGCTTATTTTTGGATTTTATTAAGAAGAATTATGGTTTTTAATTTATTTACCAGAAATATCATTACTGTTCATTACTGTAATTTCACCAAAATTAGAACTACTCAAAGTTGTGATTTATAATTTTACTATTTGTGTATGTTGCCATATCTCTGATACCATTTGATGATATATTAAAAAAATATATTTGCATACAATTATAAAACCAAATTATTAAGATAAAAAAATAACACAAAATAATTTTTTTAAATTTTATTCAAATATAGTAATGATTGGAAATGAAATTTAATTCTGAAATTACCCCTTCACAAAAATTAACAAATTTATTGGGGTTGAAGCCTAGAAGATGGATGTGGCTTTATTATAGCAAACGTAAAAGGAGAACTTGTTTGATGTACTCGATGCAACTGAATTAAAAGATACTATAAACTATGTCTGACGTAAAAAGTGCAGAAAAAGATGGAGTTTTGGAAACAAAAAAAGTAGAATTTCTTAGGCAGAATTCAAATGAAGAAAAAAAAAATTTCAAAACATACATAATTGCGAAATAGTCATTATTTGTATAATGAGGAAAGTCAAAAATTTTCATGAATCAAACATACACAGAAAGAGTCAAATGTAAAAATGGGTTAACATAGCATTACTTCGATAATTTAACTTTTTTTAAAATAGTACACTCTGTGGACACATTTCTTTAAAAAAGAAACGTCAATTCTAGATCATATTCCATAGGATTTAACTACAGCATCCCACACATATTAAAATCACTGCTTTAAATTGTAAACTTTAGAACATAATTTCCCGAAAAACACCTGTTTCACCCACTCCTGTCTTAAATATGACCTGAAGCCTATTGCGTGGGAGGGAATTATGATACCATCTGGACAGTTGATAGAATTCAGATACTCAGTCTGATCTTCCTTGTTATATGTTTTTTGATACTTAAATAATCGTGTAATCATCCTCTTTTGCGTCGTCATCCTTCTTGTTTTTATCTTGTTAATCATTCTATAAATAAAATATACCATTCTTTATCTGCCTAAAAATATTTATAGGTTAGAAGGTTTGAATTTCGTAGAAATCATTTCCTTTTCACTTTAATACAACTTTTGGATGTACAGTGCACGGAAAAAAAGAAGGAAAAAAAAAACAGAACATCCTGAATAACTTTTGAAATTTCTTAGACTAAATAACTTTTCGAATTTGAGAAATACTATTTTTTTTATAATTCAATTTCCCAGGATTTCGATCAAATTTTCCGATTTCGATCAAATTTTGTATAATGCCATTTAAAATTACATTCTTTAAAACGATGAAAAAATTGTATACCTAACAATTAAAAAATTGACTATTATTAAATAAAATAATAAAAAATAAGAAATGTTGAAAAAAGTTTTTTTCCCGTGGAATTATCTTCGGATAAGCGAATTTTATTATTGTGTGCAAAAATATTTCTGTTTGTTTAGAAAGTTCTTGAGATCTGGAGCAATACGCCAAAAGAAAATAACATTAAGGGGTCCAAATTTTAGACTGCTTTCCTGACAAAACTATTATGACTCTATTTCTCTGCCTGCGGCTACCCCCAATTACTTGGGGGTCAGAAATCCGAATCCCTCGACAATAAGGTGTGTTTATCCAGAGAAAGCATAATCAAATTACGGTATAAAAATTCGGCACTTTGGCTGCATCATCAGTAAAATACATTTTTACCGTAAAATATTATACCTCAATTTTTACTGTTATATTTATTAAATTAGAGTGATTCAGTAATTTTACGGTAATTATTACTGAAGATCAAATTCTTTGTTCCGCTAAAAATGGACTTTACAATAAAAAGTATCGCCATCCTGTGTGCCGGTACTTTTTACTGTAATTTGATCAGTAATTACTTACAGTGCACAAAAACATAAGCAGCAAATAAAAAAATTTTACGTTTTCAAAATTAAATGAATGAAAATGCATACATTGAAAGAATATGCTTTGTTTTTATGATGCTCTGATTTAACACACCGCCTTATCTAACAACTGAAATTTCAGCGGCATCTTGATCTAGAGTCTCTTTAAATTTGTTTACATTAACAACATGCATATGCAACCTAAACAAGAAGTTGTAGCACTTCCGCAATTATTTTGGGAAATTTGTACTTCTTAGGGTTTTCTTTCATTGTGAGTGAAAAACAAGCACATGAGTAATTTTATGTCACTCGGAAATCGATGGTACAGTTGAGGCGGCAGTCTTCTGAGTTGTCAACTAAAACATATAAATAGACGCACATTATGTGTATACTTTGTTACCCCTGCAACAAGTGATCAATCAAACGGATGATTTTTCTAGAAATAGTCTTTCAAATTAATAACATGTCTTTATGTATATATCACGTTTTCTAGAAAATTTTCTTTTTCTTTTACTAACTTATTTAGTATATTAGCAGCTCTTCTTACATATGTTTCTTCACCGAGAAAAATCGTATGGTCAAAAACTATCAGAATGTGGTAAAATTTACCGTGTTTCTGGGACTATAGGAACACCAGAAAGTTAGGAAATTTCTACCGAATCATTTTGGTAATGATTTTAGTAAAATTAACTATAAAATAGAGTTTTATAATATGTGATTGCGTTTAGCAAATGCGGTAAAATTAGGTAATTTTATCATGATACCGTAGAGCATTGCATAAAAACCATTTATTTGGTTAAATTCACTTTTCAGCTTCTAAATGTGTGGTAATAAGAACTATAATTTTAGAAACCAGAATTTCCGGTAAACCGTTACCATATGAACCAAAATATTTCCTAGGGAATGGTTTAGGAGCCAGATACTTTACAAACCAGAATTATGGTTCTTTTTTTATAATCAAAAATTTCATTACCTTACAGTACTGTAATTTTACCAGAATTTATTTTCTCCGAGTAATTTTATAATTGAAGAAATCAAATTTTTTCACGCTTAATAATTTAATGCTTTGTCAAGTCTGTTACTATTTCAAATGTAAATTATTTCACAACTTCACAATAAGTATTTTTATTCTTTACGAAATTTGTTGCCATTATTATTTTTAAATTATTTTAGTTTAATTAAGTTAATTACTTTAGTTTTTTTATTCTTTTAATTAAATTACTTTAATTTTATTCATTTTTCCTTGTTGAGTCCATAATTTTAAATTAAATTGAGTTATTGAATCACATTGAGTTATTATCTTTATTTCTTACCGAGTCTGTTATATTATTTTCAATAACAAATTACTTCAAGTTAAGTATTTTTATTCCTTGTCAAGTCCGTTACTATTATTTATTAAATATAGCAACTTCAAGCTCAATATTATTCTTTAGTTAAGTCGTTACTATTATCTTATTTCAAAATATTTCTCGCTAAGTCTTTTTATTCTTTGTGAAGTTTGTTATCATTATTTCAATATCAAATTACTTCATAAAATTTTTTTTCTTTGTGACGTTCAATATCATGTTTTTGATATTAAATTATTTTACGCTTGATATTTTTATTGTCAAATCCCTTACTATTATTTTTAATAATAATTCCTTTACATTGCATATTTTTATCATTTGCCAAATCCGCTACCATTGTTTTTAATATAAATTACGCTAAGTTTTTTATGGCGAAGTTTGTTATCATCATTTCAATATCAAATTACTCCATAATATTTTTATTCTTCGTCATGTCAGTTTAATTCTTCAGACTTTGCATTTTAATTCTTTGTCAAGTCCGATACCATTATTTTTAATATTACTTCACGTTAAATATTATTATTTTAATTCGTTATCATAATTTTAATATTAGAACACTTCGCGCTGAAGAAATTTTTTTCTTTGTCAAGTCCACAAAAATCGTTTTTAAGATTATAATGAATCTTTTGCACTTTTAAATAAAAGTTCTGTTTATTTTATAGTTTAAGAAGAGGTTAATAATATTATCTAATCTGAAAATAAAAGGATACTGATTTTTACGAGATTTGATTTGGTTGTCAAATCCGCTATCATGTTGACCGTAGGGCGATTCTATCGTAAGGTCGACCAGGTGACCAAATTTTTAAATTTAATATTTTTAAGCAAACCAGGTATTATTTTCAAGGTAAAAAACTGAAGATATAGAAATAATGACTTTTAACTTATAAATATCAGTTTTCAGTAAGTTACAGACTGTTAAAAGATTCATTTGAAATTTCATACTACATTATTTGAAATTTCATACTACATTATTTGAAATTTCATGCTACATCTTTTGAAATTTCATACTACATCATTTGAAATTTCATACTACATCATTTGAAATTTCATGCTACATCATTTGAAATTTCATACTACATCATTTGAAATTTCATACTACATCATTCGAAATTTCATACTACATCATTCGAAATTTCATACTACATCAATTGAAATTTCATACTACATCGTTTAAAATTTCATACTACAGCATTTGAAATTTTAAACCACGATAAGTGAATCTCTAACAAGTATATTTTTTTTTTAAAAAAATAACACTAATAATAAATAGAAAATGGAATAAATAATAATTAAAATAAACTATAACAAAACACGTTATCTTGCATAAATGTGTAGAAACATTTCCCATTTTGATTTACCGAAGAAATTCTCAAGATGCACTTTTGATATTTTACGTCCGTCACCATGCAATCGATCCGTAGCCTAATGGTAAACCACAATATTAGTACTCTGAACATTAACATTGCACATGGCAGCATCCATGATAAAGTTTTAAATTGCACCATATTTTTCTCAAGTTGAACAATATTAAACAATATTTTGCAATTATTAAACAATATTTTGCTTGAACCCTTTTCAAAACTTCCGACAGAGTTGCTAAAAACTTGAAATTAATCTCGAATTTAAGTTTTTTTAATTTAACTTCTTCAACGCCAAGCATTACATTCAAGCGTATGCGGTGAAATTGGGCTGTAAATTACTAGTTTGAGTTCAGATAAATAAAAAAAGTGTCCATATTTCTTACTTCGTCTCCTTGCTCCATGGCTATGTCTGTGGCATCTTTCAACTTTTCAGAAAAGTAAGCATTAACTAAGATAAGCTCATCTAAATTAAGGAAGATTCCATTCAGTTGCTCTTTTGTGAGTAAGCCGGCCACCTCCATTGGACTTTTGAACTCCTATAATTGGCAACAAAACAACAGTTCTTGAAATCAAGAAAATTAAAATTGTTTTATAAGTATGAAATCATAAATCTGAAACTATACTGATCTAAGTGGAAAACAATAATTTCATTTTTCTGTTGTTAATTAATGTACGTTTTGTTGAAAAGCCAATTTTGGTCTTTCTTTGTCGAAGTTTTAAGAAACTGCGGAAACTGTGAAATTTACAAGATAAATTAATAAATAAAATTATTATTTAAATTTTTAAATGGTTCATTAACATGCATAATTTAAGAACATTTTTCCAAGGGTATACAGGGACTCGTATAAAATATCAGACTTATTATCCAAGTTTTTTTTTTTCAATGCCCACCTGGAGAATGATCTAGGTCACACAGGCAGCCGAAGGACAGATTTGCTGACCACTCTTTCAGAGGCACCATATTAGGTGGGCCAACGTTGATCCCACAGTAAGGACAGATAGTACAGAGAAAGAAAGAACATCCATGCCTTGCCCGGGATTCGAACCCAGTACCTTTCTGATGCAAGGGCAGTTCCCTAACCCCTACACAGGCCGGTCGGCTTATTATCCAAGTAAAAGGAAAGAAAAGGAACACCAAACAATTATATTGACGCTAGGGATACTTAATTAATTGATTCTATAAATACCTAAATTATTTAAGTAGGTACGTATTATTGGTTCTTTGTTATTGGGTTTTATAAGGCCCCACAAAATGGAATAATACGACAGGTTTAGCAGGCTGCATATTTTTAGATATTTGTTTAAAAACAGTGCGACCATTCTTTGAAAGCTAGACTGACTTGCATCAGCATCTAATAAAAAGCGAGCAAAGTTATCTCTGGTTATAAAGTTTTCAGAGAGATAGTTCCGGGGGAGGGCGAATTTGCAATCCAGGAGCCTTTAATGACTGATTTTTTGAAGATTTTTCCTCTTTGCTGTAGTTGATCATAATTATAATGCAAGCTTTTATTATTTTTGAAATTTGTTCATTGAATCAATAAAAAGTCAAGAATTAAGTTTTAAGAGAACGTTATTTAAGAGAATGAAATTTAAGAGAATGAAATTTAATAGAATGAAATTTAAGAGAATGAAATTTAAGAGAATGTTAAACTGGAGAGCGGGTCGTTAAAGGCCACTGGATTGGAAAGTTGCTTCCGGGGGTTAGCAAACGCAATGAAGAGGGGTTGGAGTCTCTGGTCTCTTTTTATCTACAAACAACTGCTGTTCTAAAAAAATTCCTCCGCTCTCATGTATGTGTAATTTCTTTAGTTTGTTAACTATTCTTTCATCTCTTAGGTAACCAGTTTTAAACAAAGACGATTTCTCTGAGTTAGAATGCTTTTACGAATCTTTACAATGTCATAATATGTTTACATAATTGTGTTGCTATTGTATCATAGTAAATAGTTATATCGCTGTTTCCTTTACTATTGCTTGTGGACCTTTTTTTTAATCTATTCTCCCAGTATAATGAAAATGCTATATTTTATTATTCATTCTCACTTATTTATCATACTTTATTTCGATAAAAATTTAATCATTAAATAAATTTTATGATTGCACTGATATCGTATCATTATAGGTACTTTATATTATTATGAAAAAGAGGAAGAAAATAGTTAAACAAAATTAATGAAACAAATGACACTTATAATTTTTAAAAAATACATTTAATTATAAGAAGTAATAATTAATTCAATTTATTTATTTTCCATTAACTTAGCGATGTTATTTACACTTTAAACGCTGTCTCGCGCTACAATCGATGCAAATTATTGGTAATAACAATAAAATTGGAGTGCCTTCAAAGATTTTTTAACTTAATCTTTGAAATAAATGTATAAATACACAATATATATAAAGGCTGAAACTAACGAACCTCTTTAATTATCAACAGATCCTTGCCGTATTTAAATTCGGTTTCCACTATTTCCGTCACAATCTCTTTCCTTTCGGATCGCTTTTTATCACATTTTTCGCACACTAGAGGGCAGCAGTTCAAACTATCGGACTGCTCCGCTTCTAGCTGTTGATCACAGTCAGCACAAACTTCGTCGTTGCGACGATCAACACTTGGCTTCTTTCGTCTCGTGACAGCTGGTTTACTTGTTTCACTACCAACTCCACTGTCGGCCCTTTCAATTTCAACGCTACCAAAGTGACGAGTTTTCTGAAATGAAAAAATTACCTGAATTAAAATTAGAGCTCATAATAAAAAATAAAAAAAAGAAAAACATAGTATTTTCCCCTCTCCCGTAATTTACAGGGGGGGGGGGGGGG